AGCCGATCCCCATGGAATCTGAATCAGTTTTGAATCCTCTTTCAAATGGCATTGTCCGTTTTTTATTTGGTTGTTAAGCGGAGGCCAGAAAAATGATTGATTGATTATATAGACCGATCAGGCTATACAAATCATCCCGATCGGGATTTATAGCCCAATCGGGATAATCGTATAGGCCGATCGGGATAAATATCCCGTTCGGGATATAAGTCATGACTCCGCACTGCCATACATATAAAGCACAAGAGACAAATAAGTGCATAAGACAATATCGTGTGGAAGAAAATAAACTTAGTTATAGGAATATGATCTTTACAGTGGTATTATACTTTATTAAACTTAGAAATGACCGGTGTTGTTTTTTAATTAAGAAACAGAATGACGAATATTTATATTCTATTTTATTTATTATTAATTCGTTCATCTCATAGTCTACCTTCTCTGCCACCTAGCGCAATAAAAATTCAATCACACATTATTCATGTAAAACAGCAACAACCATTGACATTTATCGTCGAAAATTCATCCGAAATATTTGAAAAAGTTCCCGGTCTCACTACTCAGTTCTATCACACACAATCATTGTTATATAAAATACGATTTGATGGCGTTTGCACAACTTATAGTGGGGTTTGGACTCGTGCATTCGTGCGCCTGATGGTTGATGACTCACTACTGTATGGTTTCCAACTAACACCGAATACTGTTGATCGATGGAAATCTATACCAGGTGCAACATCGCTTACAGATGTCGATCAAATAGGTGGTGGATCGTCACTAACCCTTCCCACAAGTGAACTCACGTGTTCAAAAACTGATTTCATCTATTTACAACCTGGTCTACACACACTTGATGTTGGTGCTAGAGGGGATGGAACAGCAACACCATCCATGTCAGTACGAGGCGGTCAGTTGACTATTGAATTGATACAAGCCGATCAACAAGCAGAACCGATGAATGTGTCAATGGCCAATCCTCTCGGTAGATAAAATCTAAGAGAGAAACAATAAAGAGACAGTAACACACTATGTTAGTTATACGAAATAAAATAAAAATCGATCAAAAAATAAAAGTGAAATTAATGGAAAAATTCAAGCAGGCTTGCTGAAAAAGCACTAGAGGCAGGCGTCTACCTCTGTCGTCCAGAGCGAAAAAGCGTTTTTTGAGATAAACGCAGCATTATATTCACAGGCAGTTATCTATGCCAGATGTACAAAGATAAGTATTCTCTGGTTAATATGCTTTACTTTCGCAAATTGAAATTAAAAGCTTTTATTATATCTTTCTGAAAATAAGATGAGTGAACAAAACGCTTATAACTCTGGAATAAAAAGACCTCGAGACCTGCGGTTTTCACCATTGGAACGAGCAGCTCGTGGGACGTTTATCCATATAGAAAGTAAAAATTTTTCCGAAGAGACTTTCCCAACAGACCTCGTTCGTTAAAACCCGTAGTACCTCAAAACTAGTCGAGAAAAATTTTCTTTTGTTTTTCAAGTGGGTCATAGATTATTGACTACCCTGATTCCGAATATCATCATGCCAGCTGCTCTTAGGTTTTCATAGAGCGGTTTTCTGGAAAAGCAGTTTTTCGGAAACTCTAAAAGATAACCATACCTTGTTCTTAATGGGTTAGGATTGTAGCCCGTAAATTTATGATTAAAATGAGACATCGCCCAGCTCCAGAAGACCTTTTTGTTACCAAGTTATAGAACTTACAAGAGAAGACCTAAATTACTTTTTTCCTTATTTCTATAGCTTTGGGCCGACGATGAACAGCCTTCTCTTGTAAATTCTATAACTTGGGAACGAAAGGTCTTCTAGAGCTGGGAGATGGTTCATTTTAATCAGAAATTTTTCTCGATTAGTTTTGAGGTACTACGGGTTTTAACGGACGAGGTCTGTTGGGAAAGTCTCTTCGGAAAAATTTACTTTCTATATGGATAAACGTCCCACGAGTTGCTCTTTCCAATGGTGAAAACCGCAGGTCTCTAGGTCTTTTTATTCCAGAGTTATAAGCGTTTTGTTCACTCATCTTATTTTCAGAAAGATATAATAAAAGCTTTTAATTTCAATTTGCGGAAGTAAAGCATATTAACCAGAGAATACTTATCCTTGTACATCTGGCATAGATAACTACCTGTGAATATAATGCTGCGTTTCTTCTAACGTATCAAAAAGATACAAATTCCATTTACACTTCTGACTATATGAAAAACGTTTTTGATTTTTAAATGAAAATATCAAAAGATCTCTTATTACATAATACAAAAATGAAAGATAATGTTTAAACATTTTCGAATAGTGATTCATTTCTTGCCTTCTATGCTCTTTTCATCGCAGCATTCTTTCTCTATTCATCATGTATTCTTCCATCTGAAAACTTTCATGCTGTAACCTAGATAATGTGCATTGTTGAGTAGATGAATGTTGTCACAATTTTAAATTTACGTCAGAAAAAAGCAATGGTTTCTTTAATCAGACGTTTTTGAGATATCCTTTAAGTTTAGTAAAAGATCGATGCAAATAATATTTTCTGATTTAGTTTTGGGTTTCTGAAGTAACACACTGTCGTAGATCAGCAAAGCATGAATATAAAAATCGGACTCTGTTACGAGCTTTGGAAAATAGAGCGAACCAGACAGATTCTTTGTTTCCACAGAACACCGTTTGAAAAAGTGGAAGCGAAAGTTGAGGAAGAAAATTTCTAGAATTAATTAAATTAATTTTATTTTACTTTGATTATTTAATCTTGTATTATCATGAATTATACATTAGTTCCTTTGACAAAAGTTTGTGCTTTCTTATAGATGATTGTAAAAACTTTTAGTTTTAATACGACTTATGTTATTTCGTTGTTTGACGTCATTTGAAATTGTTTTATTGAAGCTTGAAGTTAGAAGTAAGAGTCGTCGACTCATTAATTTTTTATTATTACAGTGTGCTAAACTTGGCATAGCCTCCGAAATATAATTTTAAGTGGATGACAAAGTTTAACCTTATTTTGTTTTTCGATGTCTACTAAAAATGTCCAGGGATGGAACACTCGAGCTTTGGAAGTCGTGAATCTTATATATAGCCGTGATATCTCTTTTTGTATATGTACTGAAGTAGGACGGTTATGGGAGAATTGCAAATGCATTGAAATGAATGATTTCTCCTTCGTCAAAAAGTACTTTTAATTCTTCGCGACGTTCAGTATGGAACATAGATTTTATTCTTTTAAATTGTGTAGGTTTAACCGGAGAGACGTTAAGATATGGGACGAGCGACCGTTAGCCATCGGCCTATAAATCAGCGGGTATAAGTTTCCAGATTTACGCAAAGTTTTCTCGTGTTTTATGGAAAGAGTATGAAGTCATACTTTGTTTACTTCAAGACTTTTGGTTGGAGGAACAAAAGAGGGCGTCATCATTTGAATGGTATGAAAACTATATCCGCTTTTTAAAAAATCAAGTCACTGTGTGGGTGAAACGGGAAAAATGTAAATCGGCTCTACCAGTCATCATTTTAAAGAAATTAAAAGTAGTTAGGAAGTTTCGAAATATATACTACCATAATAGATATGAGAGAGACAGAATCATTGTTCGACAGCTCTCAAGGGAAGTGAAAAACGACATTTACAAGTATAGATCAGAAAGATGGAGCGCATTTCTCGGCTCTATCGAGGACAGTCAAGCGGTCAAGGAGTCGCCCTTCTGGTCCCACCTCTCTCATATCTATAGGCCTAAAGAGTTGCCTCTTTCTAAACTGATAGTAAATAACGAGATTGTGTTGGATTTAGCAAAGATAACGAATGAATTAGGAAAATTTTACTCGGAACAGTTTCAACAAGTAGACATAGATAAAAATAGTGAGAGTGATGTTAAAATAGCAGAGGGGTACAATTAAATTTTAATCAACTTAAATAACTGTAATGAATTAATTCAACCCACTTCTGTTCTAGAAGTAAATAAATATATTCGTAACTTAAAATCAAAAAAATCGTCAGGTCGAGATGGGATATCAAATTTTATGTTAAAACTACTTCCTCCGGTCTATATAGAGTGTTGAACTAGTTGCTTTAATGAATGGTTAAAAAATGGTTCATTCCCAAAAGAGTGGAAGGTAGCAAAAATCGTTACCTTGAATAAATTGAAGACAGGTGTTCCGTCTTGTGAGCAGACTCGTCCTATTTCTCTGTTAGAACGCATTCAAAAATCTACGAGAAAATCATTTTAGAAAGAGTGAAAAAGTGGGCAGATTTAAATAAGATCATTCGTCCTGAGCAGTCCGGTTTTAGGCAAAACTGTCTACTACAAACCAGAATTCTCTCTATGCACCAAGAAATCCAAAATAATTTGGCTAATAACATTCCAACACTGACTGTATATTTCGATTACAAAAAAGCCTACGATATGGTGTGGCATGTAGGACTTATAGTTAAGTTCTGTAGATTAGGCTTGCCACTGTCTCTACTAAAGTTGATTTTATTCTGCTGCAACATAGAAAATTAGGCTTATGTAATTTTATATTACATTATTATGTAAATTTTATTTTATAAAGCTTATGTAATTTTAAGTGAATTTACTTCGAAAACTTTTGAATTACATCTGGGTCTACCACGAAGTAACTCACTTAGTCCATTTCTTTTTATTGTGTTTCATTCAGACTTAGTGTTAAGAATTAGGGCAAATGCAGCACACATTTTTGCTGATGGTCTAGCAGTCTTAATCTCTCCCCCAGTATACGTCGATCTACGATTAATGTTAGACTATTTAAGTAGAGCGGGCTCGAAGTATGTGAGCGACTTCACGAATATTCTGTCCTCTGGAAACAACCAATCAATCCCACTTAAACAGTTAGACAGTTATTTTATTCACAAGTAAATAAACCAACCGTGGAAATTAATTTCAATGACTGGAATTTAGAACTGGTTTCAGAATTTAAATATCTCGGTTTTATCTTGACGAGTAAACTATCCTGAAACGTACGATTATGAAATGTTTACTAATCATAGAAAAATCTTATGTAAAGTTGAGATGGTTAAAACGAAACAGGCGGATATCAACCAATGTGCTACGTCTCTGTTTTTTTGTTTATTCGTTTCCATTCTTTATTTGGATCTTCCCCTTTTTCCCACTACTACCTCGCATCCAACCAGAATTGTTCTATAGAAAATATCGTGTAAGTCTCCGAATAATCCATCGATGTTAATTTGTGGAAAGGGACGATCTTTTTGAAGTGGTAAACGAACCAAATCTGGACTCTTATATTAAAAAGTATCTGTCTCGTAGACTTTCTAAAGTATATGAGACTGATTTGTTCTCGTCCCCTTTTTTATAACGACTTATTTTTCTGGGAAAATTTCCAAGAGAGTAAAGCTAATAAATGTGGTCAATTTTTCCGCATGAAACGTATAAAAAAGATGTTAAATGAACATGTATCTTCTATTGTTAAATGGTTACAGTTTTTAGAGAAGTAAGAAACTAAAGCTAGTCTTATGTATATGTATGTGACATCCATTTCTTGTATCTTTTTTTTTTTCGTATGTCGGGTTCTTCCCCTTCCCTCTCGCATGCTACTGTTTTATACCATGCTACATTACACCGCATGCTACATACCTAGTTAGTACGTTGTTAGTTATAAGTGTATCTTCGTTAACACTAACAGAAAAACGACGTTTGAAGATTTCTAACTAATCTATAAAACTTAAAATGCGGTATGTTACTATTCATTTACTGTTAAGGTCTTCCTCCCTTGTAAAAACCTATCTCAGTAACTAGAAACGCGATCTCGATGGAATTTTCAGAATGTGCTGACGATGTCAAAATATAGTGACGAAATTTATGCGACTGATGTATCTCGCAAGATATCTCGATAATACGCGTTAAAATGAAATTGTTTGTATTTTCCAAAAGACAAATGGTGGAAGACATGACATTCAATTTACAGATCATCATACTGACTAAGTTCACTAACACTTGAGGGACCGTCCTGCATTAAATTTTAATCTCATTCCAGTTTTCAAACAAAGAAGAGAAAACCAAGTAACAAGAAATTGTACCAAGATTATGTGTTTGGAAAATTACGGCGTAAAACCGGATATCAATCTTAAAATATTCATGAAGCATTAAGCTTTAATTGCTCAGAGAAAGATCATCAGTAATATCAATTCTCACTCAAATTCTCCTCTTTCCTTATAACGAATGCTTAAAAATGTATCCGTCAGTCACAGCTTACACATTCTCAAAATACAGAAGTAATTCACTCCAAAAATGACTGTCCTCTCAAGATTTCAAACAAGCTTTTTATGTATAACTGAATAATACTCTATATCTAGTAGTAATCGACTAGTTAAACTTCAGTTTCGAAACTATCTTATACAAAATTACTTTTTCTATAGAAAACTAAAGGACGGGAAACGGTTTCTGCTAGAAAATCGCCCAATATGATTTTGAGTGAAAATGATCGGAAATGCTTCCCTTTTCACTTCCAAACACTTCCCATTTTTAGAAAATCCTTCTGGTGTCTTTGAAAACCAAATTACATTTCATTTTTCGTCACCAGTTCAACAAAAGCCATTTACCGTTTTAAGCAAATTTCTCGTCCGATTTCAAAGTCCTAGAGCAAAGCGCATACATAGTAAAATAGACGAAATACTAGGCAAACGAAATACTAGACAAATATCATCAAGTTCACCTATCTTGGTGCTCTAAAGAAATATTTCTTGAACTCATCTCCTCAGACCCGGAACGTTTTATATACAGAAAGATAGAGAATTTTCTAGGCTTCAAAATAAGCTTTTCAAAAATGCGCCCATATAGCACAATTGTCGAAATACTGTGCGTCTGTAGCGAACTTTTTTGTTGTAGTATGGCAGTTAGCACGTGGAGAGAGAGAGAGATATTTCATTATTATTTTTTGTTCTATTTCGTGTTGTAGATAGATATAGCAGTGTCTGGACATCGACGAGAAAAATAAAGAACACGAAGATTTTAGTAGAATATAGATATCAAGACTGTATAAATAGAAGAGTAATTGTTGGCTTTAAAAGAATAGGTCTTTCACGCATGCGTAAGTTATTTTTGAAGTTTATTGTAGGTCACATAGCACAACAGTTTTAAGAAAAGAAGAAATCAAGTTAAAGAATATGTAGCGTTATCTTCTTCGTCTGTGCTGTCGTAAAAGTCTGACACTTGGATGCTATCATCAAAAATTGCTAAGAATGATCCAGATGGTTTTTGCCGTGTTTCTGTTTGATACCGTTGATATGCTAAGAACCAGATTCCTGACGCTCTATGCGAGTACATACTGACAGTTCTATTTCCAGTTTTACAATCATCAGAAATACCTGAATTGCAACATTCAGCTTATTTTAATCGGTACCAAGACAAGAAATATCATGAAATTGTTTTAGTCAATTATTTAAGTAGTTGTGGTTATGTTGTTGAGAAATGGGATTATGATCAACATTTTATTGTAATGAAAAAATTAATTAACGAAACAGATGAACATTGCAGTTTAGCAAGTAATCGGATGTTTCCTTAGTACAAAAAAATTAGCTATTTTACACGATTCCTATTCTGTAGCTATTTTAGGTATTTTACACCTTTATTTTTTTAAATAAATGATCCGTTTATCTTATAAAAATTACTTTTTTTATTTATTTATATATATATTTTAAATAAACGACGAATGAAATGCTGGTTTAACTTGAGAATATTCAACCTCGCTCAAGTTTAACTAGCCTGCTTTCGAAATAAATACGCAGTCTCATTATGGGCTTGTATCGAAGAGAAAGTATGTGCTGAAAAAAAGCTGAATATTCTTCATTGAGTATGTGATTGAAATAACTGCTTGGTGATAAAGCATGTGATCGATTCTTAAGGAGATCGAGAAGAGGATAGATCACCGACAACAACTCATCAATTATTGAAGACAAATGCATACCTCATTAGCTGATAAAGTAGACCTACACGCTAATCTCTTGTCTCCTTTTGTTTGTGTGTTATTTTTGTACTACTATGGTACGTAAGAAAATATACAAAACACTTCTTTAATGACGAACTAACCGATTTGAGTTCATCAATTTGTCACAAATGTAAATGTGACGAAAAAAGTGAGTAGAACTAAATAACTTGTTCGTAAAAATGTGTTGATGATGGATAGTTACGATTGGTTGTTGGTGTTAAATTGCTTGAATCTGGTGAGTTATAAAAAACATCCACTTCAACGCGATGTTGATTTTGAGGAAATGGCGATAAACTATTTCTTGCTTTCGCCTGTTTGTTACGGTAACAACAAATTAAACAGACAATGATAGCAATGAGACACAGACACACGCTACTCGTGATCGAGCCCACAAGTATCACAGTATTTACCGTCTGAGGTTGTGGTTGTCGTTGAACTAAACAAAGGAATATCAAGTCCTGTATAGTCGAATAAAGGTAATATGATTTACTTGTGGAAGTTGGAGGCGGTACTATTTTTGTTAAAGTAGAATACTGGGTTGTTGTTATAACTAAAATTGAAAAATTTTACCTTTGATTTGCGAGCAGTATGGATAAATATGTTCATCCATCCGGATGTCGAGAAGAGAAGTATAGTGGACACTCATGCTGCCGGCATTTGACCAAAAAACGAAAATACTTTTTCTAATTTCTTCCATATAAGAATGAAGCAGAAATTCGGAGTTGTACTTCTCTATCAACAGAAGTATTTTATTTCAATTGAATAATAGGGAAACTAAAGTCAGAAGAGCAGACTGAAAAGACGATATGAATAGTATAGTTTAAATTTTTCTCGCCTATAAATGGAACTAAAGTTAATAGTAATTTCAAGTCTGTAACTGGATAGTTTCTGTATATTTCTGGCAAAAAATCATTAACTTTCGTATTACTGTCACGGATTTGTTTGTATGCTAACACTGTTTTCGATAATTTCATCTTTCGAATAATAAAACTTCGACTTCTTCCGTATCTTAAATTGGCTCAAACTTATACTCAATCGTTCTTATTAGAAAGCAATCATTTCTGAAGATAAATAGCTTGATGCCTATTGGGAAATGACCACTGTTGAGAAGGTGTAAGAGAAAGTGCAAACAGCTTGATAGTCTGCTATCTCTTTAAACTTCCAGCTACAGTTTTCCTTCTTACGAGGTAAAAGCTTTCACAATATAAGTCACTGTGTGTTATACTTACTTATTTCGCAGAATAATCCAGTATAACCGGGTAAACAAATACATCCACCAAGCGTACTTTCAAGACGATCTTCTCTTCTCCATCCTTTATTTATCTCATTATTCCAACATATTCCATTGTTGTGACATTGACACAAGTTCTCATCTAAAAATAAATATATCATTGATCATTTGATGCCAGAATAATTGCACCAGAATCTGGCTTTTGATTTTCACTCACTCAAATGTAATTGCATACTTTACTACTCAACGTTGCAAACACTAATAACAGATGACATATGATCTTAACAAGAAAAATGTTTTGATCTGATCGTGATCTTTATTTTTTTATTTCTTTACATCTTTGTCCCACGCGATTATTTTATGATTGGCAATAATCGTTCGTTAATAGGCTCATGGATGGACTTTTAATACTTTTTCATACATTTCATTCACAAATAAAATGACAAGAACTTATTTAATGAAACCAAAGTTTGTAATAGTACAATATAATAAAACGTAAAAACAAACGATCTTCTGCAGAAAAAACTAATCTGTCATTTAAGACACGTACATGCGGTTTTTTTGTCAATGCTCTTTGCATCATTTTTTGGTTTTTCAGCATTGATTTCAATGTATGATGCACTCTTCTTTGTGACTGATTGATTTGACTGATTTCTTATCTATATCTATTTTACCATTAGTTGCCAACGTTCGTTTCAATAACGATAAAATCTGTTTGTTGCTTTCTTCGTTGAAGTATCACCGTAAAAGAATTAATTCACGTGAACATAATAGTTTAGAAGCTGCTGCTGTAAACGCTGATTGCCTGTTTGCTCGTTTTTGTGTTGTTGTGATTTGTTATTTACGTTTCTTTGTCGTTATACCGAACTGTTCCAATTCATCGTCATAATCAAAATCACTTCATTTTTTGTCGTTTGAAATTCTTATTGGTTTATTCAATAATTCATATACATCAAAAACGATGAAAAAAAATGTTTTACCTAATAATTGTTTTGTTGGTGATGTCGATAGTTTAACTAGCTTATCGTGTTGATCAACTAACACTTCGACATCTGCTTCAATGTCAGTATTCAATATAGCTAGAAGACGATGAGAGATTTAGAAAAAAAGAGAGAAAGTTTTCTACGCATCAAAACAAATTATAATCGTCATAGGCATTTTTGACTTCTCTTTTATATACCATATAATTATTTTCATCTGGATGAGGACGTTTGCTTTTCAATAAAATACTGCAACTATTTTCTTTTGGAAACAATATAACAACGTCATCTTCTTCATTCTTGTTATTGGTACGACGTAAATCGATAAGATCTGGCATAAGGAGTCTCTGTTTGTCGATTCATCTACAACTAAATAACTAAAAGAAAACAGTTCGAAAAGAAGGAACGTAAGAGTGATTTAGCGCTTTAAAATGTGACAAATTATAGAAGAAGAAGAAAAGATCGAGACGAAGTAAGAAAAAGGAGCATTTCAATCGCGCTCGAATCAACTCTGATTTTAATAATACATAAATGATCACCGTAACACTAAACAAACAGTACATTTTTGTCGAATTCTTTGACTGGTATAAGACGGAAAGTATTTGTCATAGCTTGTATACGATGTAACACCATAGAAAAGCAAGTACTGCTCATTTGCGATTCACACATCCTTAACCGAAAGAATTTCTTCCAAAAAAAAGTAGACCACTGCCTGATACCAATCGACGCTCCATTTCTCTTATGGTAGCCTTATCAAAAATTTTCGAGCGAATTATTTTTAAATATGTATTGGGATTTCTCCGCACAAATAACTTGATTTATTATTTTAAGACCCAAGCACGTTAATAATCATCAAGCGACTTATGGAGCCTTAGTTTGAGACTCGATGTTCTTTTAGAGTGTAGCAAATGGTCCTTGCATGCAAAAGTTGCAGACCTATACCAATCCTGGACAAGAAAAGTCATCTGACGAGAAAATCTATCCACGTGATACCTTCCGATTTCGTTCGTTCATACGTCGATCGATAGAGCGTATCGAACTAGTAAAATTCTAAAAGGATTTATCCCCATGACTCCTGAAGACCCTGCTTTTTGAAAAACGAGTTTTTTAGAAACTCTAAAAAGTAACCAAAAGCTTTCTTAATCACGCATCATTGTAGCCCAAACATTTCCCTTTCATATGAGATGTGAAGGGTCATAAGGTTAGAGCTGTTTCTGAGATATTAAAGAAACATTGATTTAATCCAAAAATGGAGGAAGCTTCTGGTGATGACTAGACAGTTAAGTTCACCTAATTCTTGAACAGTACCATACAAAGGCGAGATATCTTAGATTTCTTAGTTGTTCGATGAGCTCTTTCGAACTAAAATACTAAGAACAAAAAAAAAAATTTTAGCTCCGGCCAGTGTAGTCGGTTCATATATATACATAATCAGAAAATCCTTATCTGGTCACACATGATCAAATGTTAAGTTAGAAATAAAAGTGACGAGTCATCATGGCTAATAGTAAGTGAGTCAGTGTGGTTAATCTTTGAATAATTATTTTTGAGAGTCATTTATATAATGATTCGTTAGTAATAGTGACTATCTATGGGAGAAGCAATTTCTAACGCAGACAAAAAAATCTGTTCAGATTCATTTATGCATCTTCCAAGGGGATTGTAGTGGAGAGCTTTCATCAATCATCAGCACTAATGAAATATCCACCTATGACATCCAAAAACGAGACTTTTATTTCTATTCTCTGAAGCTGTACGGTCATGTTTTAGCTACGCTTTCTCTCCTTGAAAAATCAAACAAATTGCGTTTATAGCAATTAACTTTTAGCAGGGTTGCTCATGCTGTAGCAGCAGCTTGTTAAAATGATAATTAGTCGATTCGATTAGGACGAACAGCTAATTTCATATGAACGAAGAATCTGCTGTGGACATAAAAATGCATTTATCGGCACAGCAAATTCATTTATCGCACCACAATGTTGGTAGGTTGAAGTAACGCTACTGTTTGTCGTATTCGCGGTTACTACAACTTAGAATGTCAGATAATCTTCGAGCTTCTTTGTCAGATTTGGGAAAAAATTTAATCTAGTTTGTGGCATCAATCATGATTTAGCTCCAAAACACAGCCAGCAGTTAAGCCAGAAGCAAAAACTATTGACTGAAATATATTAGGTTCGTTCTTTTCAAACAGCTTTTATTCAGTTTATGAAATGAGTGTGTTTCAGTTTCGTACCACTTTTGAGAAAAAACCGTACCACTGCCATAAATTCATAACCCTACGTATAACAAGCAATTTAATTTTACGAAGAATGTGCGTGACTTATTTGATATCATGTACATACTTCATTTTCACGAGAAAAAAAATTGCTCTGAACTGACTTTAGTTGTCTGTATGAACATTTGATCTTAGCAGAGCTTGAGCCGTGAAGCTCTCATGCTGCTTTTGAAATTTTCATTTTTCGCCACTAAAGCGCTACTTTATTTAAAAATATTACGCAGAAAAACAGCTTGATTTCATCTGAGAAATTTATTAACGTTTTTGAAAAGAAGCTACTAAAAATTTGTTATCCTTCCTGCTTCAAATATCTACCCTAGTGAACCTTCTTGTACCCAAGATTTTGGTTTAAGAAATGCCACAAGATCTTGTAAAAAACACCAAGAAGTCAAGACGGCGGAATCTTGGAAGTACAAAACCATACTTTTTCATCACTAATTTAACGATAACTCCGGGGAAACAAGTGGTAAGAGGTTTAAATTACTAGAATCACTAAAGTAAGAGAACGCTTCTTGACAGATGATGTGTTCCGAGCATTCTAGCACTACTGTTGTTCACTTGCAAAACTCCAATGAGTCATTATTTCTCTTCATCATGTTTTTACCATCATAACTGAAAAGCTGGTGAATTCAAAACTGCCGCGCAATGCCATCTTAAGGCATTATAAATGAGACCTACATAAGATTTAGAAAAGATAGCAACGAATCATGTAGATATTGCAAACGTCTTCTGCGAACAAAATAGCTTTGAAGAAGCCATATTGCATTATAAACAAGCACTAGGTATGGACGAAACAATGCATCCAACTGAGCATGTCAGCATAATTATCCTTCATTATAACGATGGATGCTGTTATCGAAAAACAAAAGATTTTGGTTTAGTATTACGACATCATAAAATGGCATTGCCAATACGAGAGAAAATTCTTCTGGGCATATATCTTGAAATGTTATTGTATCATATACAAGCTAGTCTGAAACACCATCATAAGTCATCAAGAGTGCTCATCAGTTAACGAATTAAAGAGGTGTCAGAGCTCTACATAAGGATTGCAATGTGCAACAGTATGCAAAAGGAGTATAATTTATGCATGTATTATCTCAAAAAAGCGATGAGGACAAAAGAAAACATTATGCCAAATAACGAACTCCATGTTGCAAAGTTGTATGGAAATATGATAGTGAGATAAGAAAATATGAGCTTTCTACAGTCTGTTATGAAAAAACTTTGATAATCTGCGAAAAGTGTTCACCATTTGGTTACCAGAGGACTTCTGAAATAAATTCAAAAGTAGATTGGTTGTACCCCAAAACTAATGAACTTGATTCCGTCACAAACTATTTTATGAAGAAATTACCGATCGTCAAAGAAACTGAACCAGAGATTGCTGATTTATCCCAGCCTATTGAACGGTGATACTTTCAGAAACGAGAATATGATAAGCCCATTGAATATTCTGAATGGTTCTTGGAAATATCTAAAAGATTTTTACCATAAAATATTTCTTTAATTGCAGAAATTGAAGATGTTACAGGGCAAGTTATTATAGCACTAATCAGTTTGATTTAGCCTTAGAGCACTTCATATCGGCATTGAAATTAGGACAAAGTATAAGTTTAAAGGGACGTATTCGATATGCGTCAGTACTAAAGAATATTAGTACTGATAGACAACTATAAAAAATCATTAGATCTATATGAAACTTGAATATTATTGAAATGAAAAACACCAAAAAGAGTACATAACACTACCATTTTGTGCTGTTGGTACTGTGCATAACTTTGGACTATTGATGGTATTCGCCTTCCAACACCGTACATTCGGACTTCGCGGCTGTAAACGGACCTGTGATAGCTTGCCTAATATGATTGCATCTGGCGTGTATCAGATTATTGATCATAATTAAACAGTATAAGAACAATATGTTCATTTAGCTTAAGTTTTATTTATTTGTCTATTTTATTCATCAAGCATCACAAAGTTGGTTGCCTTTAAATTGTTAGACTGTGTTAATTGTTTAAGGGTATTACTAAAATACGCTAACACCCACTAACACCTCCCAATTAAAATCCGAGATAGCCGGTCGATAAACCTGTTCTTTGTGAATAAATACCGAAAAAATTTATTTCAAAGAGGATTCTTTAGGGCTTTCCGTTACGAACACCCACTAACACCCAAAAAAAGTGACGCAAACACTCAAAATAATATGCCAGAATAATCGCCATCCTTTTTTGAGCATATTAGATCACTTTTGAATCCATAGGAAATCTGATGAGAGCAGAGATGGTCGGACCACTGAACTTTGGTTTGTGATCCTCCTGTATAATCAAAAATAATTTTTTTCTCACTAAGAGTGATTCATAAAGTACAGCAGAAGAACGGCCGTGAAATTTCCTACAAAACTTCAGTCTCGAAATATATAAAACATTATTCTTCAATTTTTTTATTGGCTGCGACCGTTTTTCTTGAGGGTATCCCGTAATGTATATGTTTAATAATTACATATTTAAAGCACTTTTTTTTAATTTCTTGATGATCTTATGGTTGTTGTTGTCCCACGAACACTTTTCTTCCTAGATTTTCGTCCTGCAGTAGCCGGAATATAAAAATCAGTCGTTGGTTGCCGTATAAGTAGCTGATAAGCATAATAATCGCGTATTATTTGTGCTCGTTCTGATTGAGATTTACTTGACCAGATTTTACTATCATATTCAAATCTAAAAAAGATCAGATTATTTTTTCAGACCAGGAGAGTTATACTTGCTCTTGCCGAACAAAAGGACCAATTAACTATAATTCACCACCTCCATACAAACTTCTGATTGTTTCGTTCTTTTGTGCTGTTAATTATCTATCAATCAGATCTAATACATCGGATAATGGTCTTCGTTCCCAATTTGACTTATTTTTTAACATATTAATAGCTCCACTGTCGTTATTATAAAATAATTTTGCTGTTCCGTCTTGATCTACATAACCAGCAGCATTTCGAATATCATCAGTGAAATGTTCTTGAAAATTTTGTGCTTGATACGTAATAAAACAATCATGAAAATCCATGACATGATTATAATTATTGGATTAACGTTTTTAATTTCATTCCAAAGATGTTCAAATTCGGCTAATCGATCTTCAAATGCTTCAGTATTTTCTGATTTAATTAATAAATCAGGTACATCAATTATAGCTTCTAATAGCTTTTGTCTATCATCCTGATGTACTCTTGTTTTAGTCAATTGTCGTTCGATATTTTGACGTTCGTGACGTGTACAAAATAAATGGGTTGTTGGTAGGAAAGCTTTGGATACAGCTTTTGTTATTTTTGATGCCGTGTCACTCCCAATTATAAGGGGATATTGACTATTCATCTGTTCTTTAATATAATTTAACAATTGTTCATAACATTCCGATTTAGTTCCATAATGAATCATCGTTGGTCCCATATGAACAGGTGACCTTTTTGTACGCCGAAGTTGTAAGGCTGAATTTCTAAATGTGGTGGGCATACCAAAAAATCGATCAATATTAAAAGTTGTATCCAAACCTAGAAGCTGAAAGACATTTTACATCAAAATGAGTGCAGTCATAGATTGAACGACATACATCAAGCTGATGGTGGTATATGTTCATACTTCCTTGTACAGCTTCGCTGTAGTTCTTTTATTTGATGATCATAAGATAAAATCAATATTGGGCTTTCACCACGATTCATTGAAAAATGCGCTATTGGCCCATCATTCTTTTCTAATCGACGTATAACAGCTAAAAATTCTTCAGCACTTGTTAAATTTCGTTGTTAAGAATTATATACTTGTTTTTTATCACGAACTGTTGCCAGTAATGGCATGGTAGTTGCTTCGGTACCTTCGACCAGTTGTTTATATACTGCTCCTGGTTTAGTAGTTTCTAAAAAATTTCCTTGTATTGATGTAATAACACTTGGCAATGTTGAAGTAAATGATCTGGTTAATTTTGTTGAATTTCCATGAGGCTTGATTAATAATTTTTCAGCAGATTGTTTTGCTGGTTCAACAAATATATATTGGAGATAAATGGGTAAATGTTCCGTATCAATATTTTTAGTCGTATAGAAAAGCATACGACATAAGTTGCTGTCGAACTTGTTCGTTGCATATATTCTAAAGAATAAATCGGAATAATGTTTAAATCAGACATGTGCACCCGCGTAGCGGAGCGGAACAAAAAATCCGCGAACGAAGAAACCCTCGGAAAATTTTCCGCGACCAGAAACCCTGGTTCAAAGCAGTGAAACTGGTTTAAATCAGTGAAAAATAATCAGAAATGTTTATATTTACCATTTCAATTTGATAATATCTTTCCCATTAACAATATTAGGCATATATTGCCGACCTTTTCTTTCATTATAATAATGTTGTTGATGTTCATTCTTTCGAACCACCCGATGTGTACCGGCTGATTTATCCATCACAAATAATGTTTCAACAGACCTATCTTGTATCCAAGCACTTTGACCATCTTTTCGTACTGATTGCTTATTTTCTTCAGTAAATTTGATAATAAATTGTGTTGATCGCTGAATAACTTTTTGTAGCACCGTATTGATGATATTTTCATTTTCAACATTAATAATTTCATTTATCACATGTGATGCATCGCGAAACACAAATCTTGAAATATTGATTTTTTCATTTGAGATACTATAATTTTCTTCTGACAGTTCATGTTGTTCTTCCAAATCACACTCAACACCGATCAATCGATGTAATTTAATTAATGAAGGGTAATTATTGTTTGTCGTTGCACATGTTGAATGATCCTGATTTTCTGTTGATGACAGAAGTGTGACGAAATGACTCGCTTGACATATTTGACCTCTTTGTGGTTCAGCACCTGACCACATGATAATCAATGGAAATGATACTGCTTTAAATACGGTCGAGGATAAAAACTTCTGTTCAAAAGACCAAAATACTCATCATTTTCATTTATATCTGGATATATTGATTGTATCTCTCGTTCAAATACAGCACTTAACGTTAATACACCACCATACTGTCCATTGTTTAAAATTCTTTTAACATGATTGTCGACATTTTCATTATCTACTAAATCCAACACGCCATTGACCACTGATACATGATAGTTTTCATGAGAACACAATTCACTAATTGATCGAAGATGAAGTTCTTCAATTGACATATCAGGATAAAACACTTGAAGCGTGTAAAACCAACAGTCACCATCTCCATTAACGCTTATCGGGACTAACTTACGAATAGCTAGATTTGGATGACTTAATAATAAATTTCTTGACTCATCTATTTCATGATCTATGGGATTGAATTCAGTTACTGGTTCTGCTGCAATCGTAAATGTATTGATTATTCTACTAATATCAAGATTTTTGGATTTAATAGCATCATAATCTGCACCAAAATCTTCCAGTTTTGCTAGTGAACATATCTTCGCGAGGTTCATTTTGACAATTTTCACACAATACTGTTGGTGATGTAGTGTCACATAGAGAACATGTAATCCTGCCTATAGTTTCAATAGCTCGAACACCTCCCATGTGTTTGAATACGATTGTTATTATTACTATTAATATTATTATTACATTCTCAGAAAAGATAATAGTATTTAAAACAAAAGAAAACGAGAAAAAAAATTTGTATTGGAATTTAATCTTTGGCCTGAGTACGTGATGATACGGGACACAGAAGAAGCAATAATAAAAGAAGAAAAGAAAGCAAATCGGTATACGTAGTATTGCATCTCACAGATCATCTTTAGACATTTTTTAAAAAATGACAAAATTTACAGTAATTGATTCACCTGTATCTGATGGAACTGATGATTATACAGTTTTTAGCCCAGAAGATGTGGATCCTACCAGATTTTCGTATTTATCTATTACCAATAGCCATGGACAATTTATATTTCAAACATTAATCAGCAATCAAACTCAAAAAAAAGGGACTCAATAGTCAGCAGTGAAAACGAACAAAATTAAAGTTATTTCATCAGTTACATCGCACATTAAACGAAATTCATTTTTTAGTATTATCAACAAAAAGTATAATTTCGGTAGAGTTATTGGTGGATGTGAAGAAGTATTAGAACAAATATTTGGGGATATTTTATTATCTCGTCTTTATCCATCCACATTTATTAATCAAACTGGTATAAAACATTGTCGAAGAATTCTTCGTCACGGGCCTCCTGGTAGTAGGAAAACATTATTTGCTAGAACCACATGTCAAGCATTGAATGTTAAGCCAAAAGCTGGATGGATTCAAAAGTGATCTAATATGCTCAAAAAAGGATGGCGATTATTCTGGCATATTATTTTGAGTGTTTGCGTCACTTTTTTTGGATGTTAGTGGGTGTTCGTAACGGAAAGCCCTAAAGAATCCTCTTTGAAATAAATTTTTTCGGTGTTTATTTATTCAC